GTCAATTTTGATTTTCGACCATTTGCGGTCGAAATGGTCGAAAATCAAAATTGACCAAACCTAGGCAATATGGGGCTCAAAATGACGGGAATTTGATGAAAAACTTTAAAAAATATTAATTTCGTTTACTTTAAACCCAATTTTAAGCAAAATCAGCCAGTTATAATTTTTGGCGTAAAAAAGTCAAAATTCAAAATTTTCAAAATTTTCTCCAAGACTGATCGAGCTGCATGAAATTTATGTTTTCATGTGTTCTTCATAAAATTTCAGTCATTTTGAGCCCAATATTGCTCAGGTTTGGTCAATTCTGATTTTCGACCATTTCGACCACCTGCGGTCGGTCGAAAATCAAAATCGACCAAGCCTAGGCAATATGAGGCTCAAAATATCAGAAATTTGATCAAAACTTCAAAAATGATTATTCCCACTGCTTTTAACCCAATTTTAGCCCATAATTAGCCGCTGGTGCCAAAATTTCAAAAATCAAAATTTTGAGAATTTCTCCGAAACTGATCAATTTTTTAAACTTGTTTTGAAAATTTTGAAAATCTGACAGCATATTCATTTTCAGCTCATTATAAGCTTCAAAATGATACCAAACACGATCATTTTTCGTTGATTTTCAAACTTTCGGGTTACTGTATCTAGATAGTACCCAAGAATTGATTATAAGATAAATACGTCGTGTTTATACTTATTTTGAAGCTCTTGACAAGCTGAAAATCATTCTAGAAACAAAATTTCAAATTTTCGATTTCCAAAAATCTGATTCAGAAAAATCTGAAAGACCTGTATCTGATTTGCTATTGAAACTCGGCTCATTTCTCTTTGATTTTCAAACTTTTTCGGATTACTGTAGCCTCGAAGCTTATCAATTGTGTTCAGTATCAGAGTAATCTTTTTTCAAAACTTTGTACTGTCTCTTACAACAACAAAACACCCCCAAAAATTCAATTCATTCCTCTTTCAGTTTCAGTTCAACTAGTCCCTCTGTTTAGGCGGGAGAGTATTGAGAAAGTCCTGAGTAGTTTTGGCTGGAAATTCCTTCAACATCATCTCAGACACCTTCTCGCCCAGTTCCTTGATCGGAGCAACGAGTCCTGGCAGATGTTTAGCCAATGGAAGCTCTCTGACCATCTGGTCCATCTCTTGATTGACCCGTTGAACAGCCGTGGCTACCTGGAATCCAGATTTTTTTTGCGTTTTCCATGAGATTTCCGTCATTTTGAACCCCATATTGCCTATACTTGGTCAATTTTGATTTTCGACCGACCGTCGGTGGTCGAAATGGTCGAAAATCAAAATTGACCAAATAATGGCAATATGGGGCTCAAAATGACGGAAATTTTATGGAGAATTCAAAAAAAAATAATTTCAAGCAGTCTGATCAGTAATGGAGAAATTTTCAAAAATGTTGAATTTCAAATTTTTGGAACCAAAAACATAAATGGCTAATTTTGGATAAATTGGGTTTAAAGTAGTGGAAATTATTATTTTTAAAATTTTCATCAAATGACATTTTGAGCCCCATAGTGCCTAGGTTTGGTAAGTTTTGATTTTCGACCGTTTCGACCACCGGAGGTCCGTCGAAAATTAAAATTGACCAAATAACGGCAATATGGGGTTCAAAATATGGGGTCCAAAATGTTGAAGATGTTGAAACGTCTTTTACCTCCGTTTCACAAGGGCGATATGGTTCTTCAATGTGGTTGGCCAGTTTTTCCGTGGACAAGTTGGTCCGGGAGACGACGACTCCTGGATTCACAGGTCCGAACAACTCTTGGGTGACACGAATCTAAAGAATCCAGGTATACAGAACTTTGAGAGACGTTTGAAATTAATATTTTTGAGTTCTCCATTAAATTTCTGCCATTTTGAACCCAATATTGCCTAGGTTTGGTCAATTTTGATTTACGACCGACCCCGGCGGTCGGAACGGTCGAAAATCAAAACTGACCAAACACAGGAGATATGGGGTTCAAAATGACGGGAATTTCATGGAGATCCCACATACGTTCTGTTTGAGATCGTCTAGCTCCTTCTGAGTTTCCTCAACCAATTGAATGAAATCGTCTTGTTTCGCAGCTTGCTTCTCCTCGATTTTCATCTGATTGTTGACATCGACGTACAACGAAAGAACCTCTCGGATATTGCCACGAAACTTGTGGACCTTCCAATCCATTTGTTGGTAATTCCATTTGAGAGTTCGAAGAAGTAGTTTACGAGCCATTTCTACTTCATCCTCCATCTCCTTCACCTTCTTACTCCACCCCTCCTTGAGAAAGGTTCCAGCTTCGTAGAGCAATTTGTGACTGGAAATAATATCGTTTTCGAGTTTTCCATAAAATCTGCGTCATTTTGATACCCATATTGTCCAAGTTTGGTCAATTTTGATTTCCGACCGTTTAGGCGGCCCGTGGTCGAAATGGTCGAAAACCAAAATTGACGGAATATAGGCAACATGAGTATCAAAATATCAGAAATTCCATACTAACTTTAAAAGTAATAATTCTTTAACCCAATTTTGACTCAAATTTGCCATTTATGATTTTTGGCGCCAAAACTTCAAAATTCAAAAATTTTCAAAAATTATGAAAATTTTCTCTAAAACTGATCGAACTGCCTGGTTTTCATGTGTTTGTGTTCTTTATAAAATTTCCGTTATTTTGATACCCAAATTGCATATATTGGCTCAATTTTGTTTTTCGGCCATTTGGACCGCGGGTGGCCGGTCGAAAATCAGAATTGACTAAATATAGGCAACATGGGTATAAAAACAGCGGAAATTTCGTGAAAACGTCCAAAATTTCAACTTTAGACGTCTAGCAAACCCACCGATCGAATTCCTTTTGAATCATCGTCGACAACTCGTCCATGATCTTCATTTGGATATCCAGAATGTCCTCCATGTCAACCTGAGCAACGAGATCCTCAATCTCATCGTCGACTTCACAATTGACGGTGTCGGTGGTTTCTTCTTTTCCTCCTCCTTCGCTCATTTCGTGATTTTATTTATGAGCTGACTGGCTATCAGAGTATGCTGATATTGATTGATTTGGCTTGATTCGCAGGCTTATATGGGGACTTGGGGCAGAAAAAATCAGGTTTTGGGGTTGGTAGGGTGGCGCCACGTTGAAAAAGAAACGACTTTTGAAATCAGTTCTTCAAAGAGAGAGATATGGGTCAAGTACACGTTGTTAAAATCGATATTCCCCAAGTTTTGTAGTTTTTTCTAGGTCTTTCAAATGTGTATTTCCCAAGAATGAGCAAGATTTTTGTATTCGAACCTCAGACAATTTCAGTTTTTTAGGATAAACTGTTTTTTAAACTTTCTGATAATTTGATACCCATAATGCCTATAATTGGTTAATTTTGATTTTCGACCAACTCTACCAGCTGTTTGGTATCATTTTGAAGCTTATAATGAGCTGAAAATGAATATGCTGTCAGATTTTCAAAATTTTCAAAACAAGTTTAAAAAATTGATCAGTTTCGGAGAAATTCTCAAAATTTTGAATTTTGAAATTTTGGCACCAGCGGCTAATTATGGGCTAAAATTGGGTTAAAAGCTGTGGGAATAATCATTTTTGAAGTTTTGATCAAATTTCTGATATTTTGAGCCTCATATTGCCTAGGCTTGGTCGATTTTGATTTTCGACCGACCGCAGGTGGTCGAAATGGTCGAATATCAAAATTGCTCAAACCTAGGCAATATGGGGCTCAAAATGACGGAAATTTTATGAAGAACTCAAAACTCAAGTAGTGGAAATCATTATTTTTAAAATTTTCATCAAATTTCTGATACTTTGAGCTCCATATTGCCTAGGTTTGGGTCGATTTGATTTTTNNCGNNNCCCCAAGTGGTTGAAAATGTTNNAAAATNNAANTTGGACTCACANCCNNTATTCATATGGCTCAAAATGACGGAAATTTTATAAAGAACACTCAAAAACATTAATTTCAGGCAGTTCGATCAGTGTTGGAGAAATTTTGATTTTTTTGAAACCAAAAATCATAAATGACTAATTCTGGCCACAATTCGGTCCAATTTTTTTCTGATTTGGTAGATTTTGAATTTTGACCGTTGTGACCACCGGCGGTCGAAGCGGTCGAAAATCAAAAATTACCAAATATGGGCAATATGGGGCTCAAAATGACGGGAATTTTATGGAAAACTCATGAAACAATAATTTCAGTTTTTAGAATAGATTTCTAGAATTTTCGGATCTATAGATTTCAAATTTCATTTTTAATTTTTAAACTGCATTCTGATACAGTGGAATTTTTGTAGTTCCATTCACAGAACCTTCCAGAAAATCGATTTCTAGGAGTTTGTAGTACCCGAATTTTACTTTATCAGATTCTCCATTTTTTACGAAACTCGAATTTTCGGATATTCTCAATGTCAGTTTTCAAAAAATTCCGATTTTTGTATCATTATTCCGACTTGTGTAAATTTCATTCCGGTTTGTGTATCATTACTTTCCTATGACCGTTGTTTGAGCTCAAATTAGTCAACTCTCCAGAAAAAATCCTGAAATCCTGAAATTCCTTTCCTAATTAATTTCCATGATCCGATTCCCAGCCTATACGTACGTACACACTTCGATAATCCATCAATATTCCTCCTGGCACGTCTAAGTAGATTTCAGATTCATAATATTTTTTCGTAGTTTCTAGACTTCAGAAATCTTCTTTTATCAGGTTATGAGGACAGATCAAACGCTTGCACTTTTAAAGTAAAATGTTCAAGGATCATTCTTGAATTCAGGGACGGTGTGGATGATGGCCCGGGGTCATAAATCTTGGTTGTTCGTTAATTTTGGGTTACCTGTTAATTATCCCTCAATTAAACGGAAAATATCTGAAAAATGAACAGAATCCCAGAAAAGCAGTTCAACCGAGTTCCTTTATTCTCTGTTCCTGGATACCTCAATTTTGAAAAGTTGAATTTCCAATTTCCATACGTCGACATATCACTTCTCTGAAAATTCAAATGCAACACATCTACACAGATTAACATCTGTCTAATCTTTTTGTTTATCTTGTTATAGTTAGACTTCTGATGAAAAACCAAAGGTTTCATACAAATAGTTTTATCAGACGGATTGGATTAGGCAAACTGGCTTCGACCAATGGAACTGACATTCAGAACCTTTTAGGCGCTGATTGGATTAGTCCAATCCGTCTTGTGATTCTGGAAAAAGAAACAAAAGAGATTAGAGGAAAGGTTTCAGAAGATCATGGAAGTAACAGGGCCGCGGATAGGGTAAGTCTGAGGTGGATAGACTAGCAGCAAAGGAAGTCTCTGGGTTGCTGATATACGAAAGAATGAATAGTTTGGTCCGGTCAACGGTCGGCTGCGGCTCTATTTTTGAAATCTCTGTTAACAGGAAAATTTGGGAAATATAATGACATTTAGAAGGACACAAATAGTTTCTAAGGATTTCAAATACAGTACCGGTCCATAAGATATACAAAATTTAATTTTCAGTTGATCTTCGGCCATTTTCAAGAGTCTGGAGCTCAGCTGTCAAGTCTCCGATCACTTTTAAAATTTGGGATATTGTAAAACATACCTTGATTGAAAACTTCACAGAATTATTTGAAAATTCCTAGTTTTTCAGATATGGGCCTATTTCTGAAAGATCCTGTTTTTGTACTGAACATGTCCAAAAAACCGGTGTCATTCAGAGATCAGGAAATACCTGAAAGTCTGCTTCGATATTAGAAATTCCCAAAAAATCTCAAAATTTCAAATTTTTGAATTTTCCAAAGAAAAAATTGTTGTCAACGATGAATTTTCTGAAATTCGATTTTTGAAAAAAAAATCGTGTTCATTTTTGGGTTACTGTAGGTCTATTATAGGGTTACTGTAGGTTATTGGATCACCGTAGGATAAATGTATGTCGTGACGAGGTTACAGCAGCCTTTTCGATTTCATTTTCCGTTTTTCAGTTTTATGGGTTACGGTATGACTACTGTAAAGAATGTACATCCTTGTTAAATTACTGTAGCTTTTATAGCTTACTGTAGGACTACTGGTTACGGTAGCCCCTTCGATTTCATTTTCAGATCCTTCCGGATTACTGTAGCTTTTGTAAACTAACTGTAATGCTGTCGAACACAGGGCCGCGGCCGACCGCCGACTGGGCTGTCCCTCATCTTTCAAGTCCAATTATCTCGCATCCCAGAAATTATAGAACAAAGCTCTCAACTGATGAAAATTGCATTTTAAAAGTTTACCCAAACTATTAGATCTAGGACAAATCCAGGAAAAATAATAACATCTCGGCTGTCGGCTTGCAACTTCTGGACGGAAGTTGAGGGGGGTTCGGCTTTTGGACGGATTTTGGTCAGATTTTGGTCAGAAGCTGCCCACTGACAGCAGTAGGACGGACAATGGTCAGATTTTGGCTGGAATCTGAAGGCGCTGCGTGTTAAGAGGTCGAAAGATGGCCGGTAATTAGTCGGATCTTGGCCGGCTTCCCACAATGTCTTTGCCGAAATCTGACCAAGCTCCGGCCAGTAGTAACCGGCGACGCCTGAGATATTTTCTCTAATAGAACCCAACTCTACACGTTCACTTTCAGCTCATTTATCTCAATTCCTATGTGAGATATCAATAAACTGGCGACTGATAAATTGTTTATCATAATATCAATAACATTTTATCAGTTGACAAGTTTTTGATATCTTTCTCAGGAGCCGAGATAATTGAGCTAAAAGTGCACTTTTTTTTGGAAGGTTTTTTGATCCAATATCCATATAATGCACTTTCTTCCTTTCTAGTGTCTGTGACCAAGGGTGTCTAATCCAGTTTTAGATTTTTCGTGACTTTCATATTTTCACGTACCGTGGTTTATGTCTGAAAGTGTATATCCTAAAGTAGACACTTTTTTATAAAAGTACACATTTCTGAAAAAATACTTCCGTCTTTTTTTCGGAAGCTGAAACAAGGTATTCTAGGAAATGGAATGTAGTCCTAGGAATGTAGTCCAAATCCTGTCCAGGGGAGCATAACACACTGGGATTTCGGAAAAAAGGGTATTTTAGGAAATTGAGAGATTGGATTCCAGAAGGATTAGAATACACTTTGAGGAGACTCATTAAGATATTGTTAGAGGTATAATACCTCATGTATTAGGATTACAGTATTCCAGACTAGTTGGAAATGATGTTGAAATATCCTTCTGAAATTTGCGGATTGAAATTCTGGGATTTAGAAAAAATGTTTGACTGATTTTTCGATTTACTACGGTAGATTGATTTCCAGACTAGAATCAGACTTTAAGCTCCATTATCTGGATTTCTATGATAAATATCAAATATGTGTATAACTGATAAAATGTTGCTGGTATTAGGATAAACATTTTTTCAGTTGGCAGATTTTTCATATCTTTTGCATGAATCGAGATAATTGGAGCTACAGTAGGATACCAGCATTTAGAAATTTTGGATTTTGAAGCCTACGCAAATGAATTTGTCAGGATTTCTAGAGATTTTGGATTTTAAAGACGTTCCGATGGATGAAGTTCTCAACTTGTCCCATTTCTTGATTGCTTTTTTGAAATTGTTTTTGTAGGATCAAAATTGGGATAATCTGATTGGGATGTGAAAGATATTGGACCAGACGAATATTGGACGTAAAAAGATCTAATAGACTTGAGGATTACAATTTACAGCCTGCGCAAATTAGAAATTAATGAAAATGAGCTTATGAGGATTTCAGAGGATTTTGGGTTTTGAGAAATGGATGTTCCGATCCGATGGATGATGTTCTTAACTTGTCCCATTTCGGCTCTAGTATGAAATTCTGGTCCTTAAAAAAAATTCTGGTCCTTAGAAAAAATTCTGGTCCTTAAAAAAAATTCTGGTCCTTAAAAAAAATTCTGGTCCTTAAAAAATTCTGGTCCTTAAAAAAAATTCTGGTCCTTAGAAAAAATTCTGGTCCTTAAAAAAAATTCTGGTCCTTAAAAAAAAATTCTGGTCCTTAAAAAAAAATTCTGGTCCTTAAAAAAAAATTCTGGTCCTTAAAAAAAATTCTGGTCCTTAAAGAAAGATGTGGGTATTTGAATAGCTTTCATGTTTTTGTTTGAAAATTTGGTTAGATTGAAACGTTTATTTATTCCAATCATGTTTTCAATAGTTTTGATGTTTTAAAAATAATTTTTTTTGTAATTTTGATTTTTATTCAGAAGAAGGTATAAGACTAAAAGGTGTGGCATATAAGAATTAGAGAGGATAAATAGTTCAGAACACAAAAAAAAGAATATCGGTTGCAACAAGATGATCTTATCCGCGTCCTTTGAACTTCCTTCGGCCGGTGAAAGTGGATTTTAGAGTAGTGGTTGTGAATCTTGGAGTAATGGTAGTCGATCTTGGAGTGGTGGTAGTGGGCCGCCCGCGTCTTCTTCTATCATTCCGAGTCTTCTGAGTGGTGATGGTTGTTTGTCTCGTTTCAGGGGCAGACGTCGTCCGTTTCGTACGAGGTTCTGTCGTGGTTCGTCTCGACTGATGGGAAGTTGTTCGTCTTGTTCTCATGGTGGTCGTGGTCCTCATGGTTGCTGTGGTTGTGATGGTGGTTGTAGGATCAGCTTTTCGACTTTGTGTCTTCTTCCGAGGTTTTCGAGTTTTGGTCGTCGTTTGCGTTGGTGTAGTTGACGAAATTGGTCTGTTGGTTTTGATAATCATTTCTGGCTTAGAAGAGGTGGTGGTTCTCATTGTAGAACTTCGACGTTCGTTTCTATTTCGATTCAAACGAGCAGCCATTGTGGTTTGTCTTGTTGAAAATGTAAAGGCGCGATTGTTTCTTTCATTTCGTTGTTTGGGAGCAAATGAAACTCTATCAGAATCGAACTGTTTTCTTTTTCTGAAGATTTTCGTGGTCGGTGCTTCAGTCAATTGATCTTCCTCTTCCTGTTCATCTTCGTACTCATCTTCCTGATTCTTTTCCTGCTCCTCATCCTGCTCCTCATCCTGCTCCTCATCCTGCTCCTCATCCTCCTTCTCTTCGTCCTGCTCTTCGTCCTGGTCTTCTTCTTGCTCTCCCTCCTGCTCTTCCTCAAACTCTGATTCATCCTCGTTTTGGATATCGTCATCATCATAATCATCATCATCATTATTATCACCACTATCTTCATAGTCATTATTGTCATCATTATCATCATCGCCATTATTGTCATCATCATCATCATAGACATTATTATCATCAACTGTACTATCTGCTCCGTCTTCATCATCGTCGTCTCCATGATTCGGGTCGCTGGAATCGGACTCGTCTTCACCGCCGTCGTAATCAGAGCTTTCATCCGTGGAGATTTCAGATTCACTTGAATCATAGTCATCTTCTTTCTTATAATATTAGGTTGGCGGGAAAGTCTTTGTCACTTTTTCAATAGTTTATTTCTCAAAGAAAAAATAACCGAATAATTAATTATATTGTCCATCATTATCAACAACATGTCTCCAACGTTCCCTCAATTTTTGGATTCCATTGCGGTAGAATCCAGCCGGGCGTGAGGCAAAGTATTGTTTGAGTGCCGCTTCGACCGCTCCACGGGAATTGAAGCTTCTTCCTTCGAAGGCACGTGTCATATCGCCAAATAACCAATAGTCGGAAGGAGCAAGATCAGGAGAATACGGGGGGGGGTGAGGGAGAACATTCCATCCATATCCCATCAGCTCCTGCTTCACTTGTTTCGAAACATGTGGGCGAGCGTTATCATGTTGATAGTACACTTTCTTGTCTTTCAGGGCCGAACGGTCGACTGCTTTCTTGAGGTTTCGTAGTTGAGTAGTGTAGAGGTCTCCAGTTATTGTTTTGCCCTCGGGCAGAAGTTCCCAGTAGAAGGGGCCGTCCACTCCCCACCACACAGAGAGCATAACTTTTTTCGGATGAAGGTCGGGTTTGGGGACATCCTGTGGGCTCTCTCCTTCTCCAACCCACTGGGATTTCCTGTGGTGATTATCGTAGAAGACCCACTTCTC